TTTATTTCAACTAATTTTAGAGTACAATGTTTTGACTCTGTCTCCTTAGGAGGCTGTAATCTAAGGACAAAAAGAACTACAGAGAAATTTGGAATTTCAGCTTGGTAGTTTTATTTTTTCAGTAGTGCTGGTATTGTTATTTTGAAACTTTATTATATAACAAAGCATATAAGTAATTGTGGTGATATTCAGAATTAAGATTTTCAGTGTAAAAGAAAAGAAATTACAATTATAAAATCAAGCAAGACACATAAAATGCTATGTAATATTAAATTTAAATTTAAAAAATGTTCATGAACTCATGACTTTAAAGGTATTCATGGTATACCTCTGCTTATTGTAATGGACTGAGAGCAACAGTATCCCAGAAGCCACGAATATCCCTGTGCATAGGTCTTAGTCCCTTATCCTCTACTGAGATGAACCAGGGGTCCACTGATAAATGACTGCTTCTAGGTCTAGGAAAAGGAAGGTACAAACTGAACCTGGGACATGGTTTTCCAGAAATCAAGGACACTGTCTTGTCATGTCAAAAGGAGCCAATCTGAGTAGGTTCCGCTGACCAAAACTGTGAGAATTTGACCATCAAAAAGAATAACATTTGTGGTTAATTGAAATCTATTCAATCTCTAAAATCCATGAATCCATAATGATACTAACAATTTTAAAAGACAGAAAAACTCATTGGTCACCATTGAAAGTACAATTAAGGCTATTAACATCTCTGAAAATTTGAAAATTAAAGAAATATTTGAAAATTAAAGGGCAATTTAAAGAATGAACAATGTATACTGCCTTCCACTTAGAAACTGTAGACCAAATTACCGAACAGCCCCAGCTGATGTGGGAAAGCTTTGCAGAAGAACTTTGGCTGATATATGCACAAGGAGTGATGGAATCAGAGAGAAGCCACTATTTCACATTCCTAAGGATATTTTTCGCATTTTTTCTATGTATTTTTCAAAACCAATAGATGAATGATTGATGGGGAACTAGACATTTGTATTGCTCCAAATAACACCACAGATTCTATGTCTAAATGAAATGTACCAATACATGATGGAGAGGACAGGCTTTCTTCTTTAGCTAGCGGTCAGTTTAGCACCATAAAGTGTGGGTCAACCATATGTCACATGCCTCTAGATGTAATACGATGTGACTGTCTTACATATGTTAGCGTCTAGAAGCAGAGCCTGAGGTCCATCGGGATGAGTTCTGGGGAAAAGGAGAATGAGAGAAGGGGGAAAGGAGAGTAGCAACAGCCTGATGATCCAGTGGGAGCTGGGGAGCATGAACTGTCCCACAGGGGTCCCCCACCCCGAAGTCCACGTCAAGGCCTGCAGGCTTCCCCTGGGCATTGCATGCACCATTTCCATGGCCACAGCCATGTGGTGTTGATAGGAGGGCACCACGTGAGGTCCCAGAATGTAACCTCCATGAAGTGGGTATTATGAGATGAGTTGTGCCCCTCCCCAAATTGCATATGTTGAAATCCTGACCCCTCAGAAAAGAACTATATTTGGAGATTGTGTCTTTAAAGAGGAAATAAAGTTAAAATGAGGTCATTAGGGTGAGCCCTAATCCAGTACAACTGACTGGGGTCCTTATAAGAAGAGTAAATTAGGACACAAATACGTACAGAGGAGAGACCATGTGAAGACACAAGGACAAGTGTCATGTGAAAGGCACTGCATCAGAAGTGTGTTCAGGGTCCACTAGGGGTGCGCAGAGGAGAAAGGGGCCAGCTCTTCCTTGATTGTTGATTGGAGGTGCGGAGTAAGCAGGAGACAGCCGAGGGAGACTTCAGAGAGGAGGTCTGGACTGAAAGTGGGGTGGTTTTCCAGGTTGTTATTGGGGAGTGTCGCCCAGACAGAGAGCAGCTCACGAGAAGGAAGGAAATGCTGGGATCCTGAAGCTCTTGTTTTGTGTGACTTCACAGCACCCCATGGATGCTAGACAGTTGCTGAAGGATTCTGAGTAGGTGAGTGCACGTGGAGGCACGTTGAAAAACAGCTGGAAAGATAGGTTGAGACCAAGTTATGAACATCCTTGACTCTATTCCTGAAAAATCCTCTTGGTAAAATACAATTAAAATACTATTTAAAATCTATTGCAAATCAACAAATGACATCGTGCTTGTTGAGGAAACCCTCAAGGCCTACGGTGTGCCTGTCACGTGTGTCACTGCACACTGATAGCTGTGCCAGCTGTTCACCGCTGGCATCTGTTCTGATTGGTTGGTTAATACATTCACATTGTTGGGCAACCATCACCACCATCCATCTCCAGAACTTCTTCATCTTGCAAAACTGAAATTGTACCCATTAAAAAAACCATCCCCTGCTCCCCCCAGCCGCTGGCAACCACATTCTGCTTTCTGTCTCTGTGAATGTGACTATTCTAGGTGCTTCACATAAGTGGAATCATACAGAATTTGTCCTGTTGTGACTGGCTTATTTCACTTAGCACAATGTCTTCAAGGTTCATCCAGGCTGCAGCATGGGTCAGAGTTGACTATCTTTTCATTCTTCTTCTTCTATGAACGAGTTCAGGAGACAGCCTGCTTCTCTTTTTCTTAAATTATCTTCAGGAAAATTGTAATGCTGAGGAAAGTAAAAAAGAAAATGAAAGTCTATTGAAAATGCTTTCTGATTCAGGTGGAACTTGAAGGGAGGGACCCTGATAGTTTTCTCCCAAATTAGGAAGCCGGCAGGATTAGTAGATGGTAAATATAGAAAAAGTGATTCAAATAGAAGAGTGACATCAGAATGGAAAGTTCTCCAGGGAAAAGCACGACAAGAATGAGAATGGTTACACAGATCTAGTTTGTTTGAGAATAACACACGATAAAAGACAGCCTTCTGCACAGTAGGGGGAGGAGGGTAGGAACGAACACTCGGGAACAGGGGAGTCAGTATTAATTGGTTCCCTGATCGCTCCTTATATGGTGCACAACTTGGTCTTCGGCCAATTTTAATACCTCCCTTCATTTCCGTGCCTTCTATCAAGAAGTCAGGCATACCCTCATTAACTCACAGGCTCCTTTGTAATTAAACTCAGGCATATGCTCATTAACTCATTACTCTTTTGAATTAAAATTCCTTATGGGATACATTGGACTTTTTGAAATAATCCTTTTACTCCTGGTGTCTGGCTTGGAGTGAGCACTACTTATTCAATGAATGATTGAGCTCACTTTTACCAGCAGGGCCCAGTTATGTAGGTCACCTCAAGACTTTCATGGGACAACACGCGTAATAAAATTTATGCTCTAAATTCAACTTTTGACTCAATTCTACTAATATGTGGCCTTCTTCATCTGGCAATGACTGGAGTGGCCAAGAGCGTGGCCTCTGGATCACATTGCCTAAGTTCAAATTCATTATACATTTAGTAGCTAGGTGACCTGGGGTAGTCACTTAATCCCTCCTTGCCTCACTCTACTCACCTGTGAAATGGGGACAATAATAGCACATACCTTGCTTTGGGCAGTATTTCGAAGAGTGATCGTCCACTCATTTCCAACAGTAGCTCCTTCCACTCTGTTGCTCATCTCTGGGCTGCCCACCTCATCTTCTGTTCAAATTTTCCATTCTTCCATCACTTTTGTAACTAATTCCCCACATTAAATACCCTCTGTTTTCTTAAATGTTAAAGCAATTCTTATTATTACTGTCATTTAGCCTCTGAATCTCATAATCACTTTCCAAAAACTCCTGCTTTTTCAAAAAATGTCTCTATCTCTGTAAATATATATCTGATTTAGGAGAAAACATTCTCTGACCCTTTGCTATAACTACAGGGGCATCAGGAAAAGCTACCAAGAGCCTGGCCATGATTCCTTCTCTCACTGACCTCCCAGGAGGACTGCCTTACAACCTGAAGTTTAGTCTCTTTTGCCCCCTGGGCTGAAACATGCTCAGAAAGGGCTGCTGTCCTTCGACCGGCTCCAGGCTGCGATGGTGGGTCAGGGAGTCTTAAAGCTCTGCCCTCCCTGCTCACAATCACCACACTTCAACTGGCTCAGGGGGAGGTGTGGCCAAACGTTGCAGAGAAGACTCAAGTCACCTTACATGCCATCCTTTCCTCCGACAGGTCCTCCTGCCTCCACCCTACCCCACCATGTGGTATGAAGTCAGCAGCCTGGATTCAGGGTTGGAGATCTGCATGGCCAGGACTAGGGTGAAACAAGAGAGGCACCTGGGGCACAAGATTGAAGGAGACGTTACCCTTAGGGCCATCAAGGCCATGCAAGTGCAGGGTCAGTGTTTAAAAGAGCCCCTCCTGACATTTTGTACAATAGGTACCTCTCTGCCCCACCTGGTCTCACCCCTGTAGACCATTCTTTTCCATTAAAACAAAACAAAACTTTGCCTGTCAGGGTTGGAGGATGCCTTTAACGTGATAGGGCGTCACTGCTTCTCCAAGTGTGGTCCAGGGAGAATTTAGCAGGTTCTGAAATGCAAATTCCTGGGTCTAAGCCCAGACCTAGAGTTTCAGAATGTTTGGGAGGTGGAGCAGGAATCTGCATCTTAATACAGAGCCTCAGGCACCTAAAAACCAGCGGTTGAGAACTTCTGCTTGATACTTGTCACAGGCAACACAGCCTCCCAAAGCAGGCTGCTTCAGGTTAAAGACAACGACAATTAGAGTTTATCGTCCTGGGTACAATTCTGCCTCCCTGTAACTTCACTCTGTCTCAGATCTGGAGTCTGGAATGACGCTGAATAGGTTCCATCTCTTTTCTACACTGCCAGTCTCCAAGCACTTAAGGCGGCTGTCAGGTCCTCAGCCCATTCGAGGACCTTACGCCTCCTTACTGGAGTCCCCGCTCAGCCAACTTTCTTCGCAAGCCACCAGCATACAGAGCGAGCAAGAACGGAGAAGAGGCTGCTAAACAGGCTTGCACTAGCGACTGAAAAAAGTCACGGCACTGAAATGAAATGTTTCCAAAATGGAGTAATTTATAACTCCACTAAATTATAACTTCGGCGCTGAACTGTAACAGCCCACCTTTCAGAACTTCCCGGGGTTGCTCTGCTGCCCCCTTCCGGCGCCGCGATGCACTCCGGGCGTTAGCGCCGGCGGTGGGGCTGTGCTCTCCCCGCACACAGGAGTGGGAACGGGAGATAATCCGTCCCTCCCGGGAAAAAGCCACGAGTTGCTGTCGTGCTGCGGGAGAGAAATCCGAGGCGAGAAACAGAGAAAGGAAGCGTGCGGCCAGGAGCAGGGGTCCCACAAGTGAAGAGGAGCCCGTGAGATGTAGCCCTGAACCCCGCTGACCCCACAGTGGCCGAGTTCTGCCCGGTTCGGGATCTGGCTCTTTCATCAGCTCAGGTGAGTCGGGACAGCCCTGTGCAGCCTTTCAAGTCGGAGAAATCATCCTAGCAGATGGTTTCTCAGAATCATTCACAGGCAGATGACAACGCGCTGATGTGTGCTTCCTGGAAAGAGAATGACTGCATTGTGAAAGCGCTTTTCTTAATTGTGCGGAGGGGAAGAAAATCTTAATCTTCACTGAGTCTAAGGAAAATGGTTTTTCTGGTGGAGAGAATAGTCGTAATGGAACAATGAACTTCAGGTGAAAGCAAGTTATGCTGGGCTGTTAGAAACAACTTGGTAACTACAGGGCAGTGAGGAGCGATCATCTATTGGGGCAGAGCTCGAAGGAAGTACATTTTCCATTTCATAGGAACCAAACGATGAAAGACACATAGGGAAGTGGCGGGGTCACTCAGGCACCCAGTAAGTATGCCCTAACCTCCACGGAATTCATGCAGGATGGAATAGTTAGGAGGGAAAATGGAGCATCGGATACATAAAAAGCTACAGATAATAAAGGATTTGTGTCCTGGGCAACTGAAACATCTGTTGGAAATATTCAGCGATTCTGATTAACATCTGCCTTTGGGGGAATAGGTATGGAGATGGTTGATGTTTAACATTTAATGTTGTTCAAAACCAAGCAATGAGCTGGGGTTCCTCTCGTATCTATTTTAGAAATAAACTGTCTAATTTACCAAGTCGATCACTAAAAACCACAATCACAGTGTCAAAGATGTGCTCAGGTTGGAGCTCTGAGGTGAAAACAAGTAATGCTAAATACTGATGCAGTGCTAAATGTTAAGAAAAACTTAGGCATCTTTAGATACAGGCTCACTGTTGAATTAGGACACAAACCAGAGGTTTAAGGTAAAGTAGTATTTTATAAATGTGAACACTAAAACTAGGCATGTTAGGTATAAAAGGGTCAAACACAGAATGATTGCATTTTGAACTAGGTAATTCTTTGTTGTAGGGGCTGCCCTGACCCTTACAGGAAATTAACAGCATCCCTGGTCTCCATCCACTAGTCACTAGCCACCCCCTCACCCCAGTCATGACAATCAAAAATGTCTCCAGATATTGCCAGATGTCCCCTGGGAGGCAAAATTACCCTTGGTTGGTGACCACTGAGATACAACAAGTGGACTGAAAGTTGAAAGTATGTTAAGAATGTCATTTGGTGACTATTATCAATTAATTCCCTGTTATCAATTAATGCCTTTATTATCACTAAATTTCTAGGGGAGAGCACAACAGGGGCTATTATCACGCCTTATTGATGCTGAAGGCAACAGGAGACAAACCCATCACTGTTTTAACACAAGTCACTGTTTATTCCCACTGGAGAGAAAGGGCTGCCTAGCCCACTCCCCCAATCTCTTCCTGCTTCAGGTTTCTACCAGATAGGAAAACTTTCTACTAAGCAAGAAATATATTCATTTTCTTAGTAGTTAGAAAGTTTAAAAGTTGCCTAAAATGGTCCTTACCACCATCATTAGCATGGATCTACTCTACTGAGCATCTCCTCTATTTAAGGGGTCCACCCTCTCTTAGAAGAGCTTCCATTTTAAAGGGCTAGGGGGTGTGTGTGGTTCAATTGTGTGGGTTTTGCATGTTCCCACCATAATAGTGAATAGGTCTTTCAGAACATATATATTTTGTTTTTGCTTCTGTTTTATGTTTTGACCCTCTTCAGCCATTTCTCATTTCTATATCGCCAGCCCCATGCCTGCCACCTCTGGCAACCACGGCAACCACCAATCTGTTCTCTAATTCTATGAGCTTGTGGGGGGTTTTTTTAGAGTTCACAAATAAGAGAGATCATACAATATTTTTCTTTCTCTATCTGACTTATTTCACTTAGCATAATGCCCTTGAAGTCCATCCATGTTGTCACAGATGGCAAAATTTCCTTGTTTCATATGGCTGAACAATATTCTATTACATATATATATATATACATATATATACACACATACCACAATTTCCTTATCCATTAGTCCACGGATGAACTCTTAGGTTGTTTTCATTTCTTGGCTATTATAAATAATGCTACAATGAACATGGGGGTGTATATATCTTTCTGAGTTAGTGTTTTTGTTTTCTCTGGATACACACCCGGAAGTGGAATTTCTGGTTCATATGGTAGTTCTGCTTTTAATTTTTTGAGGTTAACTCCATCCTGTTTTCCACACTGGCTCCACCCATTTACATTCTCACCAACGGTGTGTGAAGGTATCCTTTTCTCCACATCCTCGTCAACACTTGTTATTTCTTGTCTTTTTGGTAATAGCCCATTCTGACAGGTGTGAGGCGATATCTCATGGTGGTTTTGATTTTCATTTCCCTGATGATTCATGCTGATGAGCATGTTTTCATGTACCTGTTGGCCGTCTATATGTCTTCTTTGAAAACACGTCTGTTCAAATCTACCTACTTTTTAATCATATTTTTTTTCTTTTTTGCTCTTGAGTTGTATGAGTTCTTTATATATTTTAGATATTAACTCCTTCTCAGATACTATGATTTGCATATATTTTCTCCTATTCTGTAGATTGCTTTTTCCTTTTGTTAATGGTCTCCTTTGCTGTGCAGCTTTTTAGTTTGCTGTAGTCCCACTTACTTATATTTACTTTTATTGCTCTTTTGTTGTCAGATTCAAAAAATCATCTACGAGGAGCTTGCCACCTAAGTTTTCTTCTAGGAGTTTTATGGTTTCAGGTCTTACATTCAAGTCTTTCATCCCTTTGAGTTCATTTTGTGTATGATGTAAGACAGTGGTTGAGCTTCATTTTTTCATATGTAACTGTCCAGTTTTCCCAGCACCATTTATTGAAGAGACTGTCTTTTCCCCATTGTATATTCTTGGCTCCTTTGTCGTACATTAATTGACCATACATGTGTGGGTTTATTTTTGGCTCTCTATTCTGCTGCATTGGTCTATGTGTCTGTTTTTATGCCAAATGTTTTAATTACTATAGCTTTGTAATAGAGTTGGAAATCAGGAAATGTGATGCCCCCAGCTTTGTTTTTTCTCAAGATTACTTCTGCTATTGGGGTCCTTTGTGGTTCTATACAAATTTTGTAATTATTATGTTTCTGTGAAAAATGATATTAGAATTTTTATAGGGATTGCCTTATCTGTAGATTGCATCAGGTAATATGGACATTTTAACAATATTAATTCTTCTAATCTATAAGCATGGAATATCTTTCCATTTATTTGTATCCTCTTCAATTTCTTTTCTTAATGTCTTGTAGTTTTCAGTATACAGATCTGTTATCTCCTTGGTTAAATTTATTCCTAGGTATTTTATTCTTTTTGATGCAATTGTAAATGGGATTATTTTCGTAATTTCTCTTTCTGATAGTTTATTAATGTATAGAAATGCAACAGAATTTTGTGTATTAATTTTGCATTGCTTTTTTTCTTTTCTTTTCTTTTCTTTTGTGGGGAGAGGTAATTAGGTTTATTTATTTATTTTTTTTAACAGAGGTACTGAGGATTGAACCCAGGACCTTGTGCATGCTAAGCACAGGGTCTACCACTGAGCTATGCCCTCCTCTCTGTATTGATTTTGTATCCTGCAATGTTACTCAACTTGTTTATTAATAGTTTTTTGATAGAATCTTTAGGATTTTCTATGTATGATATCATGTCATCTGCAAATACTGAAGTTTTTGAATGCTGAAGAAGTTTTACTTCTTCTTTTCCAATTTGGATGTCTTCTATTTCCTTTTCTTGCCTAATCGCCCTGGCTAGGACTTCCAATACAATGTTGAATAAAAGTGGCAAGAATGAGTTTCCTTGTCTTGTTCCTGATCTCAGAGAAAAAGCTTTCAGGTTTTCATCATTAGTGTGATGTTAGCTGTGGGCTTGTCATATATGACCTTTATTAGGTTGAGGTGCATTTCCTCTAATTCCACTTTATTCAGAGTTTTTATCATAAATGTTGAATTTTGTCAAATGCTTTTTCTGCATCTCTTGAAAAGATAATGATTTTTAGCCTTCATCTGGTTAATGTGGTATATCACCGTGACTGATTTGTGAATGTAGAACCATCCTTCCATCCCTAAAATAAATCTCACTTGGTCATGG